GGCATAGTTCTGTCCCTTGTGGAACATGGTGACTGCAGAGATGCCAATAGAATGCCTGGAGGGAAAATACTGTTTTCTGAACACATTTCTTTTTCTGTGTCCTCATAAGAATTACATGTAATGATTTTGAAGGTGTGTGGTGAAGAGCAGATGTAACTGCTGGCATTATGGAGGTCTTGGCAAAAGAGTTTTTCCTGCCCTGCACTTGCTCTGCTTTGACCTGAGTGAAGTCTGTGATGTGTTGAGAAGCATCTGCTTCATGCACACCTGGATGGCCAGACTAGTGCTGTGGAGTACACAGCTGGAGCCAAGGTCAAAGCAGAGGTGGTGCTGACAGGCCCAGGCTCTTCCAGCAGGTAGTGAGCAGGAGGTGAAATCCTCAAGTGAAGATTGTCTTGTCTGTGCAGGGCTCAAGTCCTGCAATTTCCAAATCAGAGATTACAATGCCAAAATCTGTGCCTATAGATTTATGAGAATGTATGTAATATCTAGACTGGCTTTTCCCCTGAGATCCTAGTATATTTTTAGCCTGGGGACAGCTTATTTTCTCTTTCTTTTCACTCTCCCAATGTTGGGTTTTCCCCAAATATTGTAAGTCTTGATAAAAGTGGATTTTTTTCCCTTTTTGCTTTATTTCCCTTTGGATTCCAATGCCTGTCACATACACTTCTGTTTAGGACTGAGGTAAAATTTGTGTCTGATTGATAGTGAGAACAAAATTTTTAGTTCTACTTCATCTTGATCTTGCTGGTCTATGTCTTCAGGAACCTTTAGTTTCTACACTGTGCAGCTGAAGTCTTCGTTTTAACATTTGAATTTAATTTTCTGTGAATGATTTTAAGCTCTATTGGATGAGCAAATCTCAACTTACAAATGTGATTGGTACTGTTTTAGCTTATTGGTTTTTTGCATATATGCCAGCTTTGAGGTGGGCATGTATTTAGCAGACCTGTTTTGCAGGAAGAATGTAATAGACTTATTATGCATAAGGTCAGTAAAAGTAGCAAAAAGTAAACAATAAACTAAGTTATTTTAGTGCTTGAGGTCTAAATTTATTGGTGCGTTTTTGTAAACACATTAAATTCTCCAATCATTAAAATGACTAATATTAAACTGTAGGAAATAATTTATGAGATATCATAATAGTTAAAAACATGATTGCCATCTTTATCCACTATATGCTATTAATGCTATATATGCTATCCACTATATGCTATTAATTCTTATTAAAATGCCAGTATACAAATACTATCTTCTTTATGACCTTGGTGCTCATAACCCTTAGTAAAGTGAAGAAAGAATGAAGTTAAGTAAGAATAGTGACCTGTTCAGGCAAGGAATACACCATTTAGGATACATTTGTTTGTCCTGCCTGTCACTTGTGAGGATGAATTCGCTTTGATTCTCATTATAAAGTGAGGAGATGTGAAGTAGTATTCTCTAATTGGTAATATAGGTTATGCATAATAATATTATATGATATGTATAGTAATGCTATACATAGTGGCAATTATAACCAAAACTACTAAAAAGTTTTTCGGTATTCTTGTAGTGTAACACTTTATTCATATTCAACATGCTATGGAGCTTGAGCATGTTGAACTTGTTCCTTGCCTTTGGTTTTTTGGGTTGTTTCAGGCAACTCCGTTTACCTCTCTGGGTCACAGTTTCTTCATCTCTATTAAAAGATATCTGAAGTATCTGAATACTTATAAGCTGTAGAGAATAACAGTCTAGCCCTATTGTCTCGTCTTTGAGGGTTTTTGAAGTATCTCAGTAGTGATAAATGGAAGTGGTTTGACTTTGAATGTCACAAGAATCTTGTAGGAATGACTTTGCCATGTATTTTACTTAGACTAAGCAAATACATTTTTCATTCAGTGTGTTTACAGAATTCAGTTATAGAGACCCAAGCCTTTGAAGGAGATTTCTTGGTACTGTCAATTGTAAACAACTAATATAGGCAGCAGTCAGTAATTTTGCATCTACAATTATTTGCAGGTGCAAAGCTAACCACGTTCCCCATAGATGTACAAGGCTTGAAATGTTTTCATTGACATGTTCAGGTAACACTGAATACAACCACTGAGAGTTGTGAAAGCATCAGCTAGATCAAGACCACCTTAAAATCAGGGAACTTAGAATATGCGTTGCACAAGATGTCAAGAGTAAGGACCTGAATGATCTGCATCTTGTGATGTGTTTTTGCTAATTGTGTGGAGTGGTGTTGCACTTCTGAATGCAGAGAATGCATTAAACTCAAAACAACTGATATCCCAAACAGAAAAAATTATTAAAAAAAAAATCCATTCTTGCAATGGAACTGAATCAGAAATCAGTGAATTTTACCTTGTTTTTTAGACTTGCACTGATCTTTACAATACTTTTAAGAATCGGGCAGTTTCTATTTAGAATTCTGAGGCTTCCAGTTTAGGGAGATTTTGGCTTCAGCGCTGGGGTGTGTATATATATATTCTAGTTTTTACACTTAGATATAGGAATTCTCAAGTCCATTTCATGCATTTCAATGCCCCCAATACTACTTTTTTTTTGAAGAGTGCTCTGCCATGAGCCTTGAACTGTAAAGGCTGCCAGTATATGACTGAACTGATGTCATTTGTGAGAGGTCATGTTAAGATGTGTAAATGTTAGAATTAACTTACTAGTTATTTGTTCTCGGATGTCACAAATACCTGCACAGAGTAATCAAGTGAAAATTACATTGTGATAAACAGAAAATACTCACCCAAACCCAGTCTTATTTTCTCAAAACAAACAAGCATAGCCCCAAAACCTACCTCTGACTTTCTTTTCCCAGAATACACTGTTGTTACTCCAGTTTCTCAACAGTGGCTTACTTCTAGTACAAAAAATGCATTTCCAGTGACAATAGTAGACTTGACCATGTGTACAGCAACTCCATCGGGCAGCATCGTGTAAATAGGAGGTGTCTTATCAACCGTAAGTGGAATATGCGCATCTATAAACACAGATGGAAAGGTTTTGACGGAGGGGCGATGCCTGGGTATGTCCCCGGGTGAGACGTGGTTGCCCCTGCTGACAGATGCAGGGCAAACGCCATCCTGTGGTGCTTTTTGTAAGTAGGCTGTCGCTGGTTCTGTGAGCGCTGTGGAACTCTGATTCAGTGCACTTCCACGGTGTGATCTTTATCCCGGCCCTACTCCGAGATGAGCACGAGCTAGCAATGTAGGCAGGAATTCAAGCCTGAAGCCTTTAAATCTGTTTAGGTCTAGATTGCATAACATCAGTCTTCTCTGTACTCTTTGAGACTGTAAAATGTCTCAAGCAGGATTTCATTGTCTATATGTTTGTGTCTGTATAGATAATGATGGCCAGGAAAACAATAAAGGGAAACATATGCTTTGTACTGGAATTTTATTTATTGCATATGGTGGCAAAAATGGTGCCTCGGTGAACATACTGCACTGGTGATGAACTTTGATTTGATTAAATGAAATGCACCATATGGTGCGGAATGCTGCTGTTCCACTTGCTTGTTTTGCATATACTTACATCCTCTTCTTTCTGATACTGTATGAGGGTGGGAAAGGTATTAAGTTGGTTAATATAAAATTCCTGATTTATAATACTTGATCTGCATTTTACTGGATAAATATTTGCATCTATAAATAATTAAACTTACAGTTTTTCTTGGGAATGAACTGATTATGTCTTAATATTTGCATCTGTAACTTTGCATTTGCAAGGACAAACATGAAGGCTAGGCTGAAGGTTGCCTGAAAATCTGGTCTTGCATATTCTATGAAAAATATTACTCACATTTCTCACAGGTGAATAAACTGCATGCATGGATGAATCTAGTTAATTCAATCGTTTAATAAACCTAGAATCCCAATGAGGTTATAACAAATCCCTCTGGCATCGTGGAGTTATGAGCAAGATGTACAAAATTATATGTAAGCAGAAGAACTCTTTCTGAATTTGAGAAGTCTTTTGCACATTATTTTTTTGTTCTGTTCACTACAGGAAATAACTTCTCAGTGGCTCACTCATGATCAATTATTGTTTGATGGCAATATCTGGGGTCAATTTGCGTCTGAATAGATTTTTTTTTCCATTTGGATAGTTTGTTTTTGAAACAATTAGGTAGCACTAGGACAGATGCCTCTCTCTTAATTTCCCTGTGAGAAAGAAGTGAAGTAGAAATTTCTGCAGCTACCTTGTCGGGGAGCAGCACCTTATCATAAGCTGCCCCATTTTCAGATGTTAAACACGTGTGGATCCTGGATCAGAACCAATTCTCTAGTTAGAAACACAGGAATTGCAAGCTGACAAGGACTGACTGATTTAGCAAAGCAACTGGAACTGATATGACTGGATCAATCTAATGATGAATGCTAATTTTAAGGTTGCTGTACTCTGAGCTATAATCTGGACAACTAAGCAATGTGAAGCCTGGTCAGTTCGTGGATGCTAAACCTTCTAGGAAAGAAATATCAGTCAGAAAATGATAATTCCACATTAGGAATTTTGCTGCATTTTGATACAGAACCAAAATCCTAGGTTAGTGATTGTGTTGCCCTTTTTCAATATCATGAATGTATTGTTATTTTACAGGTATTCACAGGAGAGGATACCCACTCTAAGAAACCTAAATATGTTGGAAGGGGTATATATTTTCAGGTGAAAAAGCAGACACTGAGACTACATGTTATCATGAAGAGATCCTACCGTATGTTCAGGAAAATAAATCTGTTGTTCTTCACAGGTTCTGAAATGGGGAACAAGTTCTGCCTTCATTTTACACTGAATTAAATTTAAAAAAGCAGATAAAGCCATGCTGAGTGATGTAAATCTCCTCTTTCAGAGATGCACATGTAATTTTAGAAATATACCTGGAATACAGTAGCAGAAACTGTTACTCAAAATTCTCAATTAGTGAAGTTCTGTGGAGCTGAGGAAAAAATAATGAAGCTGAAGAAAAAGGTGATTGATAAGAAGACTTACCACTGAATATACTCCTGTATAAAACTGTAATTTTATTAATAGGTGGAGGAGGATAAAATCCATGAAATGGCAGCTAAATACGTGGAAAGCCATATACTCTGCCCTGGTTTAGAAGATCACAAGTATATGAAATTGGAATGTAGCTGAATTGATTGTGACCTTACATTCATTATACTTCAGCACTGCTGGCAGAATCCCTTCTAACCAAATATGCATAACATGCTTGCTTAGCACTTTCACAAAACCTTGAGTTTATAATGACAATTAAAGCACATCTTTTCCAATAATTACACAATCTGAATTGGTCTGTGCTAAAAAGCTTTAAAAAAACTTAAATTCCACATTTTATTATCAAAAATCCACTTAATTATAGGTAATCTCTGACTCTGTATGCCACCTGTATTAGCATTTATATTCCTCATTGAGTCTGCTCAATATAATTTTCTGTTTATTGTTGAGAACATATTTCAAGAATATACCTGCAATCTCATGTAGGCCATGACTGGCATCCAGCCAAGCACTTAATTTATCTGTGCCTTATCTTATGTAGTCCATAAAAGAGTAGCAGAGTGAAGAGCAAACATTCTACATGATGAAGGGTCAAGGCAACAGTTTGAAGAAGCACCGGCTTGTTGTCATCGGCCTCTTCATAGGATTCTTTTAGAATCCTATTTCTTTTTAGAAAGGAAGACCTGGTTTCCCTACCCACTTCTGGAGGCTGGGTACTGTCCTGCAAAACTTGCTTCCTCACAGAAAGAGGTTATCTGAGAGGGGAGTGTTCTCAATTCTGGGCTGTTCACCATTTGGAAGAGGCAGTCAGGTAGAATGTATTTCTTTCTGGACTTTTTCTTTTGCCCATTAATTGTTTTCCTCACTAGGCTATTATGTTGGTAAAATATTTATAAACATTATGATGAAAATTGGCAGGAAATGAATTCACACAGTGTTAGTACCTTTTGATTTTTTTTTCCCAGGTCTTTGAAACACTGCTGTGGTTTTGGCTTGCCTCTCTGTTCTTGCTATCCTTTTCTGTCACACTCAGTAATTGGCCTAATAAAAGGCAGAAACAAGAATTTATTACACCCTGGGCAATACTTGAAATAAACTTTATTTGCTGGAGCAGCACTTTTTACCTATTCACTGCTGTATATTTTGACATTCCTTCTAAATATTGAATTTTACTTTATTAAAAGTTAAATCTTGGCTTTTTTGTGATTGCTGCTGTTTTTGCAGTTTCTTAAGCAGACTAGTACATATATAAACATATCATTTTAATGAAGCTTTTGGAGAAACAATACAAGCTGTGGTTATATCCACTTCATTATTGTCATAATCCACAAAAATAGTGTGAATGAAAGACTAGCTTCTATGATACCTTGTAATTTGGTTTTGGAATAATGTCTGTGATTAATTGAGAGAACAAAGATGAGAGCTATTCAAGTTTTCATACCTTTTTCAATCTTAGGATTTGATGAAAGCTTCCTCAAGTAAATTATTTAAGGTTACTTGCAAGAGTATGAAAGTAGTAGCAATAAAGCCAGGTTAGATTGTTATGATGTAATTTCCACTTTTGAATCTGGGTTTCTTCCACATACTAGGTGGTAAAATCATAAACATTTTGTTTGTTTTTTGTTTTCTAAAAAGGCCTTAAGAAATAGCAATGCGTCATCCTGGAACTGTTTATGCAGGAATTTTTATTCTTTGAAATCTTCCAGTGTTAAAGCAACAAGAAAACATTTATCATGTCCTTTGGTGGAATCTTATTACACTTGTTATATATGTAAACTGATATTCTTTGATGCCAGCACGTTGCCCATACAGAGAAATCTCTGCACAATTAAATGAAAGGAAAAAGAAAAGGACTAAATAAAAAGTAATAGTTTTCTCTTATCTGATTAGAATTAAATACATTAATAAATTGTCTGGTAACACAAATAGGCAATAATACAAAAAATCTACATTGTACATTATTTCAAGAAAAATAACTTCATTTGAATACAAAAGGATAAATACACTTTTTGTCCTATAGCCACTCTTGTACAGTAGGTGAACACAGCATCTTACTGATGCAGTGCTTCTAAGGTATACAAGGATATGACTGGCTTGAGTTTTATTGAGGGGGCTGTTACACATGTGCATCACTAACATCAGACAAAGAAATCTTTCAACCAACAAGGGTTACAGAGCAACGTTCACTAAAGCACAGGTTGGGAAGGATTTGGGGACTGAAGCAGGCCAATATGGCAGCTTTTACAGATTTCCTTATACCCACAATGCACTGACAGCAAAGAATGCCTTTATTTGGTCGGTCCACACACTGGGCAGAGGTACAGTAGCGCACCATATAGGAGTAGCAAATGTTGTTTAAATTCTCTTCCCATTCTGGGGGCCGTCAAAGCCGTTTCAGTCCTGTGTAAGCTTTGCAGCCAGCATTGATTGATTTGACAGAACAGGCAGCTGCCAACGTGTCTCGAGTCAGAGATGAACAGTCTTGACTCAGAGCCCTGTCCATAACTGATTGATATGGCTTAGTTCAGTTAGGCCTTCTTAGTCTGTATGTGGTTATTTTTTCTCTCCTTTTTCCTTTTTAGATTTCGGTAGCAAACGCTTGGGTGTTGTCCAGTTTTCGTGTGGCACGTTCATTTGAAGCAGTCTGAGTGTGATGCCATCCAGCACACGGAGCCTACCACGTGCAGAGTCCCGCTGCTGCCAGAAGAGCAGTCAGCAGTATGAGAGGCCTGTGTGCCATTGACCCCTGGCCCGAGTTCTGGCCGCAGCCTCCTGGATCCCTCTCACACTTCAACTTCTCGCACAAAATGCCAGTGTAAGCCGGAGGGCACTGGCACCGCACGTTGTTGATGCACGTCCCGCCGTTCTGGCAGTGCAGTAGTTCATTGTCACATACGTTTGCTGCAAGATAGCAGGGGAGGGAGGGAAAGAAAAGCAGAATAAATATAAGTTCATCTACAGGTGAAACTGCACTAAAACCAGAATGAAAGCCCTACCTCCTTCCTCGTCCTGCGACATATAAACAGGGGATGTGTTTTTTCAAACACTTGAATTTTTATTTTACTTGATATTTTTTCATCCTTTATTTTTTAAGACTGTAGTCTTGGAGAACTGTCTTGGCCACTTAAGACCACTGACTATGATATTAATTATTTTATATGAATGATTAATTAATAACAAAATAATACGAATACTAATACATTCCTTGTACCATCTTTATAGTTATTACTGAATTGAAACTAGGTGGGTGTGTTATTATTTGAAAGGGGAAATATATCTAGAGCTTTTGGAAACCATGACCAGTGGTTACAAATGCAATATGGCTTTGCTAAACTAAAACGATCTGCATGAGAAGGCAAGGTTTTATAACCAAGAACTGCATGTATTAATGATCTGAAAAAATTATGCAAAAAAGATAAGGCAAGCACAGGCAGGAAATTCAGCATGCTATTGGATGAGGGTTATATGGAATACACATCTGGGAAAAAAGATAATGTTATTTCCATTATAGATCAAATATTTCATCTTAATTAGATTTGCTACTTTGGTTCATGGCATCTTAAAGCTATCTTAGATATTGTAACCTGATAACTTCAGAGATCAGGCTGCATAATGTTATAGTATTTGACAAATTGACAGCTTTACTTTGTATTACTTAATTGAGGTATTTCATGGGTAAAAATGCAGAGGTATGAGAAACATACTAATTAAATGTATCAATCTGTGTTTTAATCCAGATTATCACTGGAATATGTGCTGGATTAAGCTCTGCCTTCCATAGGAGAGGCAGTTTTAGAGAAGACCTTGAACCTATCTAGGTAGAATGTAACAGTAAAAATTTTAACTCAGAGAATTAGGGAAAAGATTATTTGGTTTAGAAGGAGACTCAACATTATGCTGTTTATGTGTACCTTAGCCTGGAAATACCCTAAATAATTCAGAATAGGGAAAATATTGTTAATTTTACTTTAAACATTACTGTTTATTGCTACAAAAAAGTACAATTTTACAAATATTAATTCACTTATTTTCAAAGGCAACCCAAATATCACAAGAATTACATTTGAAATAGTCCAAGTTCTTAAGTGATGCAATTCTACATAAATCTGTACCATTTTAGTGCCCCAGTAACCTCACTGGTAATCTTATCTGTCCTGGTTTGCTTTCAGAAAAATAATTTTCTCACTCTAGAAGGACTCTCTGACAAATGCTTTGTCATGTTCTGCATCCAAGTGGGACAAATAATAATGCAGTGTGTTAGAAACCTGTAGATGCAATTGAGAGAGAACAGTTAAATAATTATTTCTTTTAGTGATTCCTTTTGCAATCAGAGATTTTTACTAAGAGCTACGGATTTAATATTGTTGTCCAGTTTCCGAATTGTAATGGAAAACTTTGAATATTAAGGTACAACAAACAACACGTTGATGATGACCCTAGATCTGAATTTTAATCTTAATGTTCTATATATGCATTACAAAAAGTAGTGTTTCTCTTATGTATAAGAAACAGTAGGTCATCACCTAATAAATGTGATGAGATTAACAACCCAGAAAATGTAACAGTAACAGGCAGAAAAAATGAAATGTCTTTGAAAAGTCAATATTTGTATTGCAACTCTTATAACTGAGACTATGTATCTTTGATGTTGACTTTATTATTCATATTGTATATATTTAGCTGTCTCAATATGCAAAATCAAAGTACTTTATCTGATGGTACAGCTACTGAATCTACATGTTCTAGACTAGTCATTGCTGGGATGCTTCCTACAGTTCAGGCAATGAAAATGGTGAAATATCTGTCCCATCAACATAGACCATTGTTTGCCTTCACTGAGTGGGATTCAATAGTTCATTAAATCCCACTTAAACAGCAAATGAGATGTTTCACATTTTTTGCCTGGAATAATTTATCCAAATTTTCCTAAGCATTAAGTAAACAATATTTATTTATTATAAAACAAATACCTTCCCTATTTTTAAACTTATTTTGATGGCTATAGCCTGTTATTCTAAGAGGCCCTTAGCCCAGATGTGGTTTTTAGTAAGAAGCTGCTGAAGTGGTGTTTTGCTCCATGCTGGCTGTTCTGCCTGACACACTAATGTGGGCTGCTAGCAAATGCCTCTAAACATTGCTGTCTACAAAATTCTGGATACAACATTATAGATGCTGATTTCTAAATCAGACCATTTCTTTCTCATTAGAACGTTTTTAAAATGTACTTATTGAAGGGATGGATCAAAGGCTTCATCGCTATTCCTGCATCCTTTTAAGTGTTTGCCCACATTAAGGTAAAACAGGTAGATTTTATTGTTCTGAGCAAACGACTGTATAGCTGAAAATTCTAGAACTGTTAATCTCGTATTGTCACAGCTTTCTTTTTCTTAATTTTGTGCTTGTATCTTTCTTGCACACACACATGTATGCACATATATGTATCAAGTAGATGGCATTTGTGATTTGGAAGTTAAATGAAACAATTCTGAAAAAGTTATGAAATCCCATTATTTATTTTTTGCCAATTTTGTTTTAATTTTATTTTAACCAACTCTAATACCATTTTTACCTTCCTGAAAGCATGGTCAGGATTACTTTTAAAACTTTAATATTAAGTAATTATGTTTATTCAGTTTAGGAATTGGATTAGCTACAGATAATGAGTGTAGAACATCAGCAGCACAAAGGAAAGTACTTTCACTGGAAGTTGAAATAAAATTTATGCTTTAAAAGTAGTCGGCATCCTGCCAAGTCCAAAGCAAGGCAAGTATATTAGTTGTTGTTATGAAAATTAACAGTGTTTCTAATCTTAACACAGTATTTTTCTAAAATACATGTTATAAAACATTTCATTTCACAAGAAGCTCTAGGCTTTACCCAGAGAAGGCAGTGACCCAGGAGCTGCTGAGAAGGGCAGGAAGGGTCAGGGCCTTGCTGCCCCTTGCTCTGTGCTGAAGGCCAAGGGGAGTGGCTGCAGCTGGTGCTGGTGGGCACAGGTAGGGCTGGTGGCATGTGCCAGCATGTGCCTGGCCATTGGCTTCTTTGTTTCCCCAAGCAGCAGCAGCAGCCAGCCTGGCAATCCAGGGCTTTTCTGCCTGTTGTACCCCTTCTACTTCTCCTGCCTGCCATCACCCTGCCCCTTATGCTCCAAACAGTGAAATGTTGCCTCCACTGCAGAGATGTGTTGAACCAGCTCTGCCTTATCTTCACCATCACAAGTAATGAAAATGAGTTGGAACTCATGTGAACAGCATCAGGTATCAAGTTCTGATCAAAGAATGAAACACAGAAAAGTCATGCAAATAAAAGACCTAATTCTGAAGTCATCACACATCACTATTAAGACCTGTGTGCCTGATCTAGCTGTGAGGTTGCTGACAGGCCTTCATTAATTAGAAGACAGAACATCAAACTGATCACTTACAAAACAGAACAGAGATATCTATTTGGAGAGATTTGCAGGCTTTTTTGGGGGATTTCTGAGCACAGTCTCCAGCTCTGTGCTACTGTGGGAAGTGAAATATTTAAAGCAAAATAAAGGAAATAGGTTTTAACTTATTTTCACAATTCATCAATTTACAATCTAACTATTGTCTGATTATGGGATCCTTAAAATACTACATAAAAGAGATAGAAAAAAAGCACATGGAAATGGATGGCCATTTGGATGGCTATTTGAAGCTTTTCTGTCCTTGGGACTACCTCCCCCTCCCCCTTCCCACTCAAGAAACCTCTGAAATTACTTGATACTTCTGAAATGGAATAAAAAGGGAAAACAAGAGGAAAATACCAGTCTTTGAGACTGCTCAAGTGGTTCAAGGGGTAAATGATGTGCTAGTATTTCATAGAATTTATATCGGTATTTAATGAAATATTGAGAGTAAGACTGTTTGACAAATGTCTACTTTCCTCTTAAACGTTCAAATCTGAATAATACATGAAAATTTCTGAGTCTCTCCAAAACTCAGCTTTAATACCTTTGCAGCTTCTTGAAAGCAAGGAGTTTAGACAACTGTGGCTGATTTTTAGTTCTGAAGCAGCGATACAGAGAGGGAAGCACAACTGCAAAGCATTGTTCTCTTTGATCTGGAGGGGCACCTCAGGCACAAGATTGTGCTGCTGGCTTAATGGTCTTTCTGAGCACTGTGTCTGGGCAGCTTCAGAGCACATGCACAAGGCTTTTGGTCTGCTGCTGTTCAGACAGAAAAACAGTGTGCTACTGAACTTAAATACAGTTTTACTTAGACTCCTGTCTTTCCCAAAAGCCATCCAAGCACAGAGAGAATACATTTTGTACGTTTCTTTGTGCTACCTTTATTTTTGTACAACTTGCCTACAGTAGCATCTGTGGGACAGGCTTCTGACTTAAAAAAAAAAACCCACATATTCAAAAGCACAACTTTTTTGAGCTGGGATAGGTGGTGGTTATTTTCTGCATTGAAATTTTCATTTATGATGACATTTTATTGTTTGTGGGCACACTATAAAGATTATTAATGAAAAAATCACAGAAAGATAACTTTTTATTAGAGGTCCTTGCTTCCTTTCTTGAATTCTGAAGACTTTAATTTCAAGCCATGTTTTCTATGTTCTCTTCCATCACTATTTTTCTTCCATGTGCTCTTTTTGTGGCATCATTTGTTACAGCCTTCTCTCTTCCTCTCTCTCTTTTTAAAACCATTCCTTTACTTTTCTCCTTTTTGTTTCCCAGATCATGAGTATTATCATCCCTGGACAAGTTGGTGGGTTGACAGCTCTGAATATATTATACAGCATTTTTGTCTTTTCTAAAGCACTCGATGGCAGGCTTTGACCCTACTTGTGCTGCAGTGAATTTTCCACACTGTTTGTCAGTGGTTTGTGTGACTGGCACCACTGAAGTCATGAGAATTTTTTGACCT